CTGTCAACATTTTGTCTCCAGCTTCTTTGTAAGTTCCTTTTGACAGACTCATTGCTGAAATTTTGCCAATTCATCCTGCCAGTTCGTCTCCATCATCCCTGACCCTCCCTCACATCCGCCATCAATCGGCACTTCCTCGTGTCGTCGTCTGATCGCAGGGGTTGTTCTCATGTGTGTAACCTAGTGACGTTCTATTATCGACCTCCTCGTCGAGGTGCACCGCGTTGGGCGGATACACGAAGCTAGTCACGCGGTGGTCGCTGTTCGCTGCGGATGTCCGTCGCGCATCTCTTTGGCGCTCGCGCTCTCGCAGTCGTCCTCCGGCCTCCACACGGCCTCTTCGCCACCAAAAAACCCGAAAAAAGAGTGTCCTGTGACCGTGATTGTGTGGACTGCTGAGGAGGAGGCACTCGTGCGTGGATAATTAGTTGTGTGCGCGTTAAGCTGTCTTCACACTCGCTCATTTTATTTAGAAAACGTGACACTGTCTAATTACAGCCAAAATGGACGGGGGAGAGGTCGGCGCGGTTAGGTTTTTAAGCCGAAATCAAAAGCTCGTTGACCCAAATCATGTCGTGATACGCTCATTATCAATCATACGAAAAACGCAACAGGGGATTCACTTCCTGGCCTCGTTTGCCTACGCGAGATTGATAGATAGGGCATTCTTTGATTTAATGGGATGTGATGAGTCGATACGAAGCTAATAATAATGAAACGCTTCTACTTCCGATAACTACTACCAAACATGAATTTGTACAACTGTTGCATGCACTGCGAACTATTATTAGGCGACTACTAGTAGTAGAATCAACTTGGAAGGAACAAAAGAGAATTTGTAGTTTGTTAGGGTTCGGGACTACCTGGAATATATCAGCTGTGTATTAAATTTCCCAACAATTTTAACAAGCATTACTTATTTGAATGAAAATTTTTATAACTAAAGCGAATTTTTAATTGGTAAATAAAAATACGACAAGGTCAATGTAATTGCTTTCCTAATACAGTTAATTAACGATTTATTTGTGTATGCCAAATATTCATTTACTTAATTTATTTTAATAAAACCTTGTTTTTTTACTTTGTCTTGTTTTATATTATGTGTATTTTTGTCATCGTTTATCTGGTCTGAGATCAAGGGAGAAACCAAAAGATTAAAAAGTAGTGAACATCAGCAATTCGTCATTAAAAATTTTGTTTTGAAAAATATCCAATAGTCGAATTTTTAATGTCGACTTAATTTAAAGCTGTCAATTAATATAAACAACGTAGAGAATGTCTCAGAAATGTAAACATATGACTTTTTAGACAAAGTCTAATTGTACAATATTTCACAAAAAACAACTAGTTTATTATTTATTAACTCTTAGATAAAAAAAAGATGGAATATGGAAGAAATTACAAAATTATTGTGTTTATTAATGTTAAAATTGTTAAATTTTTAGTAATTATAACATTAACATAATTTAATAAAATGGTTGTTCAAGAATATTATACTTTTTTAAATTAAACATTTACTATACATACTAACTAAAAAAATAGCAAAAAAATAGAATTACATTTAAAAGTAAAACTGTCTTAATGTGTACAAGTTGATTGGTTTTGTTTTTAAAATTATATGTAGTGGTGAAAATATTTTCAAAAGGAACATGTGAATCTGAAAATTTTACTATTACATGAGAAGTAATTGTTTTATGAAATTTAATGTTTTTTTTATTGTAAAATGAGACCAAAAATTCGAAAGCTAGTAAGTTATTACAACCTTATACTCGTAGTCCTTTATATGTAGTATAGATATACTAAATAAATTTTATTCTATTTTGAAACATCACAGTGCATATTTTGTAATTTGACGTTTAATACTAGTTTATGACCTGAATAAATAATTACGTGGATATTTGGATAAAAGCTAAATGGCGTCAGAATATTAGTCAATCATGTTTAATGAAAAATACGTTACACAGTATGAGCTTTAAAAGCTCAATTCTGAATTTAGAACGTTTGTTATAAAACATTCCAATTAACTATAGTTTCATGAAACGACTCAATTTTTTATCATGACCAACGTAACTACTTTTCTTTTGATCATAGATACCTTTAATTATTTCACTGAAGAGTTCCAACTGCATCCTGTGATCCTCCCGGAAACGCTTTTATTTAATTACAGAACGTGACAAAGAACAGATCTTGAAAGCAATCGTCCAATTTATGAGTTTTTATTTCACTGCCATTTCTGCATATTTACCTTCAAAAGAAACGCACGAAAGCTTGCAATTAAAACATTTCGCGACGCGAATTTATATTTTTCCACCTTCCATTAAATTCATTGCATTTTCTTCTTTTCACATAAAAAAATAATAGACAGAATTATGGAATTATAATTGCAGATGTAAATAATTGAAATCACTTACATCATCGCAATCAATAATACCTTTCTCAGTCGAGGGTAATTCCTAGAGACACTCTACAGGTTTGCTTTCCCATCCCACCCCCATTTTTTCGCGGCTCGTGCCCACTTTCGGGGGTTAACTAAGCAATTTGGTTAACACCCATGTCCGTTTGTAAAACATTTGTGTTAATGTAGCGGTCTGATCACGCGATGGAGGGTGTATCTGGCGCATATTTGGGGTAAAACCTCATCAAATATTATTTAACGGTTATATCCAGGTCAACGGACCGGGAATTGTGGGTCACAAACACGATTCAACTCTAACGACTTTGCATTTATTTAATTTTCGACTGATGACGAGGAAATTAAAGACAGTCGCTGGAATCCTGAGACGGTGACATGTGCCTCATAATTGAATTTTTTTAAATCAGAATCAAGCCTGCTTTGCGTAATGGAAAAGAAAACAGATTTTCAGGGGCGGAAATAAGGTTTTTTATTATGGTGGAGGATTGATTGTGTGTTGGGGGCTAGTTGTGAGTTAGTGATGTAGCCAATGTGATGGAAAAGTATCGACTGGGGCTGTGCTCCAGATTCGATTCATTGCAAAAGTGAACTAGTTGCTGGTAATCATTGCTTAAGTAACTTGGAAAATGGGCTACTTGGGAGGAGGTTTTTCATGTCCGTTTTAATACGATTGGTTTTGCAGACTCGAAACAATAGGCGGGAACATTAATCACTTATCAGATAGGAAAAACACGAAACTTTTATCAACGTTATTAGATAACGTAAAAACAATAGACGATTTATAAGAGACAGGTGGCGTTGTTTGGGAATGGATGGGATGATTAGATTCTTTTTAATTACTGTCAAAGACGTATTTCACATTGCTCACAAGAAAAACTTATTGTCTGAGCAATCGCCGAGAAATTGTATTTTATACTTTATTTACTGTTATTCTACTTTGACATTAATAGTATGTTAATTACCAATACTTTTGTATAACTTTATTCCTAAAAATGTTTATAGTAAAATAATAGAATTATAAAAATAAGTTAGTACCTTTTTAACATAAAATTTAATAAGGATGAATCAGCGTAAATTTTATTTTTTTTCCAATTTCTTATTACAGATACTACACAAGAATTATTTGCTTTTTAAATGGTATTTCTAAACTTTATTTTTAACACTCTGCTGTACTGCAATATTTTCTAGAGGATTCTCTAAAAGGTGCAGGTTGCAAAAGTTTTTTGTATTCATTTATTTTTGCAAATTCTCAAAAACTTATTTCAAGAATTCTATAATCTCTAATTTTTAAGCATAGTAATTTTGATTATCACAACCTAGTCAAAAAGGAATTTTCAATTTCTTTTTAAAATATTTAACTTTTCGTTGTGTCAATAATTGTGTGAATAATTTGCAGGTTTTATTTAATTATTTTTTTCGGTTTCCTTTCATAGTTTTTACCAACAAAACTTTACTATACTATGGCACATTGCAATATTTCCTCTAACTGATTTGATTTTGGAAAAAGTTCACCTTTCATTAAAAAAAGCTTTCTTTGATTAATTGCCGTGAATTTGTATTTCACGCTGATCGGTAAAATTTTTCGAAAATTTTGCTGTATCTATTACTAGTCCACTTTGATGTTAATAATTCATTATTCACTTTTCTGAACATTGGAACACATTTTTTTTAGTCCACCCACTAAACTGAGAGTAATTTAATTTATAGTCCCGACTCGTGATATAAATTCTTCAAACTGCTGATCATCCCAAGTGTTAAACCCCGCATCTTTCATATCACACCGCCACATTTGCAGCCTTTTCCAGTGTCCATCCGAGTGCATCGCAACAATAATTCATACCCTCTCTTATCACGTTTCTGATCTCGTCTGTATAACATGATTTCCGACTCCCATAACCCATTTATACAAACCCTTGAGATTGCAATAATTCTGTTCTTCGTCGTTTGGCATTTGTGGCATCATCCAGTGCTAAAAATACATTTCTTTTTGGGTATTTACGACTGTTTCCTAGTTTCCTCCATTTCGGCTGATTTACAGAAGTCGTCCTTGTCCGAAATAGACCTTCCAGTGTCAACAAATTAATAACGCGTTCCGCATGTGTCACTTTCTGGGGTTTGTGGAGCCATCATCAGATGTGTTTAATTGAGTTGAGTGTGACAGACGGCTTTCGTGGCGTAACACAGTAACATAAAGCTAAATTTTCGATCGTAAAAGCCGAGATGTGCTCGAGGTGCAGTCGGTGCTGCAGGAATAGTGTAGACGATGAAGAAATTCCTTCCTCTGAGACATGTTCAGGTGAATCTGTCTAGGGGGGAGTTGATAAAAGTGGACAATCTTTAAATAGTTATTGTTAGAATTCTGGAAATTCCAGCTTGTCCGCTACTGACGGCTCTCCCCTATACTGGTGATGTATCGAGTGTTCGTTCCATTAGTCCTCGCAGTTGATTGTAATCTTCTTCGGCAATCTGTTATCGGAACTAACTCTGCAGCCGCGGATCTAATAACCTGCGGGAAGTTGTGATTTTGAGGAGAAAGCTAATTATCTCGTGTTATTAATTGTACTGAAATTGTTTTTTCATTTTGTAGATGAAGAATGGAACGCCGACGGGAAGTCCGGAAGAGGCGCTTCGGGGAACGACAGCGGTAAGTCGTGTTAAAGTTTCTAGCGAAGTTCGTGGTTTAAAGAGATTTCGTCCAATTTCGATTTGCATTAAAAACGGCCAATGTTTTATTTGATGGTTTATTAATAATCGTATTAAAAAGTTAAATTAAATTTTGTATGAAAGCTAAATCATTTTCAATGATGTCTTAAATTGGACCAAGCTAACGATCGGCAAAAAGCCGCAGAACACGACAGGTTTATGCAAGGAGATGAATAAATTCGTGTTGTGGAACATAAATGTAAGGTTATTTAACTTAATTCGGGACTCGTTTTATCTGTATTAAAATGTACCTATTTTGAAAATAAAGGTTTTTCGGTTATTTGGTTTTTAACAAACTTATCAAAGCCAATTTGGGAGCCAAAATTTATTATCAGTATTGATTTTTCCATGGCATGCTAAAGTTTTATAAATTATTTAGGGAATAAAGTCATATTTTTAATAATTATACTATGTCCAAGAAGTTTTCAATTCAAATTTCTTTAGACTTTAGGGTGCTGAAGACTAATTTGAAATACTTTAAAATTTTTTTGGATGGGTTTTTGATACGTGTAAAATTTTACGTTAAATTCTGGAAGTGGCTTTTTTGACAGTTTTTACGTGTTTATTGGATCTTTTGGTGGTTTCTACTTATATTTTCTAAAAAAATTCGAATTTGAAACTCGTTTTTTCTATTGTTATTACCCAGTCAATGAACGCTCAAGAAGGGGTTGTAGAATACATGCCGATGCCATTATATGGTTTCTGGCTTAAATCCCAGAAACGGTGCGTGTTACGAAAATAGTATATTAAAGTACAAGTTGCAGAAGGTAGCTATCTATTCAAGCACAAATTTGAAATTCCGAAACGAGCCGCGTAGCGGCGAGTACTTGAAGAACCTTCTGCAACAAGTGCTTTATACTATTTTTTTCTATTTTGCCGCTTTATATCATTTTATAAATTAAAAAACGAAAATTTCATTTTTTTTTTTCTAGAGAATTTTGCGACAGTTGGTGACATTTAGGTATGTGGAATAATTTTAGGCGGCTGTACAAAATAAAAATAATTCATATTTTCACATTTGAAAATGAATTGTGAAGAAAGTCCGTCACTAAAATTAAATTACCGGAACGACTTATTCCAGCACTCAAATGACGTCATTTGGGTGCTGGAATAGACTTATTCTAACACCGAAATAGAAAAAAATAATTATGTACTTAAATTAAAGCTTATACAATCTCCTACAAGAAAATCTGATCGATTTTTTTGTATCTTAAACAGTTTTCGAGATATTCGCGAACAAATATTGCAATATTTAAAAACTTTTTTTGTCTGACCTTACATCAAGTTTACAGCAAAAGTCATTATACTGTGACGAAATGTTGGTTGTAAACTTGTAGCTTGCAATTTGTACTGTACTGTAGGCCTCTGCAGCTAAGAGAAAACAGTCTTTTCCTACTTACCTTGTCAGAAAGTGAGGTTATGTTTCATTTCTTACACTTATTATTTTTTTTTTATTAAATACCTCGTTGACAATTTATGTGTTTATAACAGATAGAATAGGAAAAACACAATGTTCCTATTTCTATTTTAAGGTTTCAGGTTTTATTTCCAATCATGTAGGATCTACAATAAAATGTAAGCTGCAAATTCTTCGTCACAACTCACAATAGTCAATAGTCACAATAACTCACAATAGTCACAACAGAAAGCGCGGCGCGCACACAAGTGACATTTTTATTAAAAATTGAAATTATCTAGCTTTATGGATGCAAAACAGAATTAACCAATTTCGCTGCATTTTATTGTTATGAATTAATCTAAAATCTAAAGTGATTGGCTTCTCACGTTATTATAATGGCCGACCTCGAACGGGCCAATCACATCATTGCATAAAATTTTTGAATGAATTCAAAAATCTAAAGTGATTGGTTTTTAACATTATTATAATGGCCGACCGTAAACTACCCAATCACAATGGTTACTACTTTTACAACAATCGTTAAGTTAATTCATTATTATTTTTTTTAGAAAGTGCGATATTTGTTAGTAAATATCTCGAAAACTATTTTGAAGCTTTATTAATATGTTGTGTAAAACCATTTTTTCGTAGCCCGCTTCGTTTTCTGGATTATTTTATTAGTGTGCATCTATCTACTTATACAGTTTTCGTGTTTTAGATTTCTAAAATGTAGGCACGTAACAGGCCATGGCCCACCAAAAATTGTGTTGGCCCACCCCTTGGCCTACCTGCTTTAAAACAGAAAAGCATAAAATGTTGTAATAAAATAAAATTTATTACTGTTTATACAAATTTAACATAGTTGTTTTTACTGAAGTATCATTTTCCGAGCCACTTCTCACTAACATTAAGTTTTTTAAGACATTTTTGTTGGTTTTTAAAACATGATGCCTATTGTTATCCAGTTTCATCATAACATATGGGTCTTACCTACTTAGCCCACCTTAAAAACTTTGGACCTATCGTGGCCCACCCAAACATGAGGGCCTAGTTCTGTACCTGCTAAAATGAGAATGTTTTCGTTAAATATATAGTTCAGTGTAAAAGTACATATCGAGATTTAAAAAAAAGCATTTAAATTGAAATTAATAATTTCAGATGGTGCAGTATTTAAGACTTTTGAATAAGTACACCTAATTTTTTCAATATTTTAATTTTTAAAAGTCAATAATAAACTTTACTAAGTCGCTGGGACAGCTTTATTTTGTTGTTGTTGATTTATTTATCAGTTTAAACTGAATAGATGTAAAATCTTACCCGCAAGGGTGTGGTCTCTATTTCATATTTCGGTAATAACAAATAATCGATACAACAAAACTCACTTGAAAACTAATTATTATTAGATTTGCGCATATTTATGTGAAAAGAGGTGAGTCTAAATGCTAAAAGGTTTTTCTTCAATAATTCTGTTATCCATGCTACTTTTTGTTCAATAACTTAAAGTTTCAACCAATTACAAAACCTATATTTAAAATAGATTACCTACATCTTCAAGAAACTATAGACAGATCCAATTTGATAATATGAACTGCGCCGAGAAGGGGTGTGTCAAGCCTAGCTTTATATCACCCAAAAACTCTAGCTTTTACGAAAACATCGATAGTAAAGTGCTACTTAGTCTTAAATTATTAATTCGTATTTACTTAGCTAATTACCTATTGTGGAGGCAACTAATTAAGTAATGGCTTTTGTTTCATTAATATTATGCTGTCAACCAGGCTTCCATCACCAAGAAAACTTGTAGACGTTTCAATAAACGCAGATAGTACTTTTGTCTTTGAATATTACATGAGAGGCGTTTGAGAGTTCTTTGAAAGGCCTGGCAACATTTAAATTGAAGTGAAATGGTTTTTACTCGAGGTTTCCCCTAAATTAATATCTGGGGGTATGACCCCGATATTTGTCTCATAATTTAGATACACTTTATAATCAAACAGATGTTTCAAAGGAGGCCTCGCCTATTCACAGTGTTGTTTATAAATGTATCATTTCGTATAGCTCGCAACTGTTAATTATTCGCATTTGAGGATGAAAGGAGTTTGAGAATAGCCGTTTAAATTTTTCTTCTCGAGAGATAAAACTCGATTATTCAAGTAATTTAAAGTAAATGCGGATTTCCATTATGGATTTTCTAGACGAACAAATACGAAAACTATTATACGGAAAAAAAGGAAAAAGTTGTATGCATGCCGACATACAGAGAGAATTGGATTTTTCTGAAATTGGCTTTGGAGCGAAACTGAGTTAAGACTGTTCAGTTTTAATTACGGATTATTGCAAACTTTCAAAAATCATTAGAGAACTCATTAAGCGAATTCCGGCATTTTTAATCTGGCGCCTCTGCCATTTTTCCACGTGAATAATCGTCTTTTGTGTTTAATTTACTTGGCGGTATTTATCTCCTTGTCCCGGAGTTAATTTACGAGCCACCTAGTGGCAGTGCAGCCCCGGATTGATGCAGTTTTCCTTCTTGTGCTGCTCTACAGCGGAGCCCCTTGTAACTACTATCGATCCTTACACCTCCGCTTAAATTCATTGAAGAAAATAAGAAACGGTCTTAATCGTCGAGGGAGTTTTAACACTCGGCTAAAGAAGATTTAAAGTATGAAATTGCGTGCGTGTTTCAATTTGATTAAAATTGTGTTTTGCGCTCATTCGAATTCAATAAAAATTTCACGAGAAAATATGATATTGCTTTCGGTATATTGGGTTGCCTACCTTGTAGACACGGTAAATTATAGACGCTAGCGGGGTGCTTTAAAAACCCCAATAAACAAGAATGTAAGAAAATAACACTGCGAGCCACTTTCTAGTCCGGAATTTTATTGCGTGGGAGTAAATTTGAAAAAATGTGACGGGAGAGGAAATTACTGTCGCTTTCCGACTTAATTAATCATCGGATTTTCGGGGGCGAGACATACTGTTAATTCCGATGTAACAATGCAGAGATGTGCGAATGTACAATCTATAATGGGAGAAAATTAATTGAAATTTCCGGGAAAGTAAAATCTGGAACAACAGCATGTACAATGACGTAGATAATAGCTAATGAGCTTTTAAAACGGGGTATTGTGGAAAACCTAATTTTTAAAGCAAAGATTTAGTGAGAAGGTTTTTGCGCACATTAACAAGATACAATTTGTGTTTTTATGCTAGAAAATGTGTGTATATTGTGTGTATAAATATAATCTCTTCAATGAAAAACTAAAAACATATCATGGTTCTTTAGGCAAGATGAGAAATTAAATGCATTTTTTATGAGTGTAGGTATATGGGACCAATAGTTTCGAGACTATTAATAAACTCATCAAAATTCTCTTTTCTTTCTCGTCAATTATGCATCTTTTTTCTTGTTATAAGATGGGAGATTAGTGTTTTTCAACAAGTTGCCATAAGTAAGGGGCGACGACCGCTGGTGCAAATAATTTTGACATGGGACGTATCAGAATATCACTTTTAGTAGCAATTATAGATTAAGGGTG